CTCCTTTGTGCTAAAAGAGAAGCACAAAGGAGGAGGCAGAGAGTGAGTAGCGTAGACTTCCAGCACACACACTTGCTTAGACTTGGTCTTGAGTAGGCAAGAACACTAGAAAAAGAATTCTTCTCCCATCTCTCTTCTTCTCTCTGGTCCTCTTTCCTGGCCATGAAAGGAAGCAGGCTGAGCATTTCCCCAGAGACATATCTGCTTCTAAACTTGTTTACCACCTAGTATTCTATTATCTAGCTTGTAAACTGAAACCAATCACAACACTCTGTGCTTCATTCCCAGTGCCTATTTAGGGTCTGTGAGCCTAAAATAATCAACTGACCCCAAGTCATTTTCCCATTTTTCTGTTTCCTTTGCCTGCCTTTTCTCTGTCCTCTTTGCCCTTAGAACATTTGCTTATTCTTCTGTTAATCTGTTTGTCACACTGGAACTTTAACTTTTGCAAATTGCAAAGTTAAATCTATGTACTCGGAAGTCTTTTTTTTTTTTTTTTAATCTTGGATGAAAAGCTGGAAATTAAAACCAGCACATCTGTGTGTGGGAGTTTAAAAATCCACAACACAATGGGATAACAGCTTGATTGGGAAAATATGGGCAATAATTTTATTTCTTGTTGATGTCTTATTTCCTCATTAAAATTCATGGTTGAAAAGTACTATAGTAAAAAAAGCATGGGTTTTGAAGTTAAACAGGTTTAGGCTTGAGTCTCAGCTTGGTCATTTTTATTTATGGTAATCTTGGGTAAGTCACAGTCCTTTTGAGCTCCATTGATAAGAGGCAAGAAGGGACAACAGTGATAATGGTGAGTATTAAATGAGGTAGCCTATGTGCAATCATAGGCACAGAGCTTGGCTCCTACCAAGTGTTCAAGTGAATGATAAGTTCTTATCATTACGGGCACTAAGCTAAGAACACCATTACTATGTAAAGTGCATGCACAGTCTGCCTTTTCTCTCCCGTCTCCCAAATGCCAAATTTCCTTTCAGCTTAAACGAGATTGGATTGTATCAAAAAAACAAGTCATGAGGCAGCATGTTGTCTGAGAAGAATCTTGAGATCTGAGCTCTTTTAGTGCAATGCAGCTAGCTGACAGGTGGTCCTCAAGATACCTCTGGAACCTGTGAATATTACCTAAGATGGCAGGAGAATGAATACCACCTTATGTATCACATGATCAAGATTATTGAGAGAATCATTTTACCTGAATTTCCTGAGAGCTTTCTAAATGTAATAACACATACTGTTATAAGAGGAAGAGTGAATTCTGGTGCAGACATAGAGGAGAGACATACACAGAGAAGAAAGTGATGTAAAGACTGAGGCAGAGTCCAGAAGCAGCCAGAAGCTAGAAGTAAAAAAGGATCGTTCCCTAGAACCTCCAGAAAGAGGACAGCCCCTGCTGACGTCTTGATTTCATAACTCTGGCACCCAAAACTGTGAAGATACAATTCTGTTGTTTTAAGCCTCCAGCTTGTGACAGTTTGACATGGCCGCTAATTCTCTATACCGACCTGGGTTGGAGGTCTGAGCCCATCCTCTCATTCTCTCATCAGCCTTGCCAGAGAAACAAATGGTGGAGAGGGTAGCGCCCCCACAGGTACATGCAAATGCACTGCTTGTCAAATATCTTCCTCACAGAACCTGGGCACAGCCAGGGATGGAATCACCCCTCTTGCTAGCATTTTCTCTGAGACCTGGGACTCCTTCAGTCAAAGCAAAGCTTTTCTTTTCACAATTAGAGTCAAAGCTTAAAATACAAATATCTTCAGTTACATAATATTTTAACTTCAGTAGGAAGTGTTCTGTAGTAAGTGGTTTTACTACAGGTCCTTTCCTGCATGTGGGCTTTGAAAGGGAAGCTGGCCAGGAAGAGCACGTGGGATCAGGAAAGATGTTGCCATGGTGAAAGCAAAATGTGCAAAGCAGAGTAGTGGAGTGTGCTGCAGAGCTAGGCTTCCTGCCTTGCAGTTTCACAAGACAAGGCTGATGTGTTTCTTGTCCCTTTGGTCAGTCAGATAACCTAATCTTTAAACCTCCCAGCGACAATGTGAACAAATACCATTCATCTTCATTAGAAGAGGAGATCAATCAGTTTGTCAAAGTTCAAGTATCTGGGAAGGGGGCTGACACAGGACTGGAGGAGCAAATGTCTATTTGTCCCCAGCCCCCTAACACAGGGATGGTTTGTTACTTCTCGGTAAAGAGAAATATAGAAAAGAGCAGTTGGAAGGATTCAGGCTTACCAAATCCATCATGCATGAGCCCTCAAGATCATATGCATTGTATTTTTCAAGTGCACAATACTATTTTCTGGGAAACCATGAGCCACAGCTGTTTGAGCCCTACCCCCACCCCACAGTAGCTGTAAGCACCAGAATGTTCCTAAAAAGGAAGCTTCCTAGTGTGTTGCTTTCTTCACAGAGAACACCTGGGTCTCAGGCCCCTTATTACTAATCAGGCCCCTTATTACTAATCATAATTATTAAAAGGTGCACATTTTAACTTTTCTGTGCTTCACTTTTGTTAGCTGAGATTTTAGGGGTTTGGATGGGATGAGAACTTAACAATCTTTGCTGTACAGGGGAAGTTTTTGTCAGGCTGTACCCCACACCAATCCACTTGGGATTTCCAGGGATGAGACTCATGCAGCAGCAGTTGAAGAAACTGTCCAGGCAAATCTTATGTGCAGTCAAGTTTGAGAATAGGTAGATTACATGACTTCTATGATCTTTCTAGATGTTATCTCTTGTCAACATCTACATGTAAAGTCAGTGGTCATGATAGCTTTGATTGTCTGGATAGTCAGAAATCATGAAAAATCCTCTACTTAAGGCTCACATTCAACTTTTCAAGAGAAAGGCACTTAGTACACTATGGTTTTCTTACAGTGTTTAAAATCTATATAATGGTCTAAATCTATTATGGCCATCTATTATGACCTTTCATGGATTTAAAAGTGGAAGGATTAATGAGAATAGAGCTATTCAGGTATCAGTTAGTTAATCATTATTCTAGAGGTTGCTCTAAATTATGCTCTGGAGTCCTAAAAAAATAATTAATGTAATTTAGTCAACCACCATTAACTAAACCCTCATTTATTTTGAAGATTGCTAAATTCAACCTGAAGATTAGAAAGATGAACGGTTTTTGCATTTGGGTAACTCATAGTCCATGACCATAGTAATAGTAATAGCCATTAATAATATAAAAGCAGCCCCAATTTGAAAGTACTGTTTGTACATCAGGCAATAGTCCAGATGCTTTTTATAACTTATTTTAGATTCTCAGTACTGCCAGCTAAGCATTGTTTCTTCCATTTTAGTGTTTAAAAAAAAAAATTAAAAACTAAGGTCCAGAGAGGTTAGGTAACAGGATATGGCCACACAGCTGAGAAGCATTTGACTTATGTTTGTACATGTGATTTCTGCCATGCATCTCCAGAGAGAAAGGACTGAAAAATAGAGATGGAGATAGCAGGAAAAGGGAGGTGGGGATGAAAGTCAGGTCTAGGGGAAAGGTATTATCCACATGAAATGTATTATAAAAAAATTCTATAAATTAATATTTTAATTATGTTTTAGGCTCAGTCCTGTTATGGAGACACAACACTGGAACAGATGAATTTATTATGAAGGGCTAGCTCTTTGGCAGTCAGTTCCAACTCCCTCAAATTAGTTTTGTAAAATCAACCCATTGTGCTCCTTTTTGGACTGCGCAGCTCAGTATGTCAGTTTTTAGACAGTATGAGGTCTTTGGATTCAAACAGACTTTTACTTTTGCTAATTGTTATTCATGATACAGAATGTATAATGAGGAGAGGGTGGTACAGAGGAGAGAACTGCAACAATCATTTTTTCTATGATGTTTATAAATGCAGTGTGAACTAGCACATTCTGAAGGTACACACATACACACACACACTTCAAAATGAGTTAGACTTGAATATCAAATTCTCTCTGTACATATACATAGTTACTGAGAAGTCAAAATATGTATAATTTGAGAAAGCACTGAGCTAAAATAATTCACCCATAAAACCAGATGTAGCTTGAGATATAGTAAACATACTATAGCCTAAAGCAGGTACAGGAAAAAGAAGCAATATGTTTTCCTAATGAGGCTTTTACAAGCCACCATTTTCCCACTGAGCCAAAACAAGTAAATGATCAAAAAAACCTTAAGACCCTGAAGGGTATACAATATTATAAAAAGTAGTTTAGACAATAGGTATTTTTTCAATTCTAAAAATAAATGTATATAATGGAAAATTTCTGTACATATACAGAAGACACACATAATTACACATAGGCATTACATATACATGTATATGCACATTTATATGCAAAATGTACACACAGACTGTATAGCTAAATAGAGTTTTTTATGATGATGGGTCAACCCCACAGTAGGTTTTCACATGGAAAATTACCTCCACTTTGGAAATGATGAGTAAGAAAGATACAGTCTGTCATTGCAAATAATAGCACAGTGATAAGTCATTACACAACTTCAGGTGAGATAATATATCAAATACAGTGTAAATGTGGGCAACACTTATTCCTGAAGGAAATCAAGATATATGAAACTATAGCAATGAAGTATAGGATTAGCAGGATGAAAAGATATACAATTTGTTCTTTTAATTTACTTATTCTATTTTTTTAAGATTTGAAAATAAAACTAATGAGAATAAAGATGGTACTATCTGAAATAGCTGATGTGCTTGAAAACCAATTAAATAAAAATTGAACTAGGAGCACTTTAACGAGATAAACAGACCACAAGCTCATTTTCTCCTTTTACATACTCATCAAATTAGATGTGGACATTTGGAACAGGTTTGTTTTCTATGTAAAATCTCTCTCTCTCTCTCTCTCTCTCTCTCACACACACACACACACACACACACCACCCTTTTCCCTTACAACTGCAAATTCCTGCTATTGGGCTAAAGCTGCAAAGAACCAAAGGATGAGTTAAAGCAGCATTTTTACCTTTTTGCTGATCAAACACAGATGGAGTGCTGAAATCCATGGTTGCCTGTCTCATCATTTACCATCAGAATGGCAAAAAGCATCCAGATCTCTAGAGGAGAAAACATCATCTCACACGTTACAGTCAATACAACAGTCAGATACAGTATCATTTGCCAAGATCTCTGAGAATTAAATGTGCATCAGCGCTGCAGGTTGTTGTCAAGGCAAATGATGGAAAATAGGTAAATGTTATTCCTGAAATACCTGCCAGGAAAAGAGTTGCTTCCGATGGCCTCATTCATCAGCTATACTTGTATAAGTATTAAACACCCTCCATTCTCACACACATAAACAAAAAAGGCTCAAACTCTAAAAAGCAGTATTTGGTGGGGGTGGCGGTGGAGGGGGTGGGTCACCTGCCTTGGATCTGGGCCAGGAAAACAGTGGAGACCACGGAGCTTCAGCAGCTGTAATGCTGTTTTAAACCAAAAGAAATCTCAATGGATGAGTGAGGATTCACAGGGCCAGACAGAGCATGTGCAAAGCTGCCAATGCAGTTTGGATTCGGCTGTGCTCTTGGTAGAGTGAGAACTGCATTTGGATCATGTGAGCAGAGTGCCATCTCAATGGAATAGGACGTAAATATTGTAGCAGGAGGCTGCTGGCCATGTGCTTATATGGAGTAATTATTCACTTTCATGGCTCATTCTGTCTCCCTTCAGCTTTGTTCTCCAAATGACAGGGAGGATGGGAGGAAGAAATTGGTATATGAAAGGCTTTAGATGTCTATGGTGATAAAATTAAAGTAGCTTACAATCACACTGGGATTTATTGAAGTATTATGTCCTGGCAAAAGCCTGAAAATAATCCAAATACACATCATTTTAAGAGCAGTTGAATAAAAGGTAGTAAATTTGTACCCTAGATTTAAAAATGAGAGGTGAATCTGCACATTTACCTGGTGGATGTCTCTAATCTATTCATAAATTTAAAAAAAGGTTACATATTAATTTTCCACCATATTAGAAAATAGTGACCACCCACTTTGTCAAGTGGGTGTATAAGTCCATAGGAACACTAAGGAAGATATAGAAAGATACATAGTAAACTGTCAGTATTGTTTACCCCAAGATTGCAAGTAAAGTAGGAGGTAACTAATTTGTTCTTTATTTATTCCTGCACTTTTTAGGCTTATTATAACAATTGTATATTTTTTATTTGCAACTAAAAATCTGATGAAATAATTTCAAAAGAAACTAACAAAACTTTATATTCAAGAAACAATCAAATTTTTGGATCGGCCAAACAGTCATTGAGTAGATGCTTTTATAAATGCTGTTGATAATGGCAAGAACTATTAAAAAAATCAACTAGCATGTGAATGTGGAAAAGCAGAAATCACTTTTCTTCATATGAGACATAATTAGCTTTGGTAAAGACCAATATATTCTCAGTGCCTCATCATTTTATTTCTTATCAACATATTATCTAGCTTCAGTTTGCTGTGACAGTTCTACTACTCATTTACCTTCTCCACATCAGCCCCTCTCCTCCAAATGCTCTGTGTCATTTTATTTAAAACACAGGCAAAAACCACTTCTTGTAAATCATTACCCACCATATTTTCCATAGGTAAATTTCTTAATTTTTCCAATCCTGCTTTTTTGCATTAACCTTGAAAGCTGAATTGAGGGGTTGAGCGTGAATTGAGGAAAACACTTTGATTTCTTTGGTTTTTAAACTTTGATTTAAATTAACAGATACTTAGCTAAGGAGAGATGGTTCATGCTCACTTAGTGTCAAACAAGAGAATAACAAAGGATTTAGAGTACCTTCTTTTTTATTTGTTAATTATCAATTGCTATGGAAGGGTTACCATGCTCCAATAATTTAAAGTTTTTATTTATTTATTAATGCATATAAGAACTGGTGTGTAGGCCAGAGGTGTGAGGGCTGAGAGGATTCACCAGAGACAGAGAGGGAGCAGTGTATTGAAATACACTGCTGAGGGGAGTAGTGAGTGAGACAGGAGAGGTCTGCTGCATCATGTGAGTTAGATCCCTGGCCTGATCATCCAACTCAGGCCAAGGTGGCTGACAATAGCTTGATAGCACTGCACCACCAGGGAGGCCCACTCCAATCATTTCTATAAGCATTGATGATCCAGCACTGTTTGAAAAAGATCTCTACATTCAATCAACTCTTACACTCTTGGGTTCTATTTCTCCTTCTGGACACGCTGAAATAATAACTGTATGAATTGATTTCCCCTATAGTTTAAAGATTTATTTATTTATTCATACAGAACTGGGGTACAGGCCAGAGATGCAGAGGGTGAGAGGATTCACCAGAGACAGAGCGGGGAGCAGAACAGGCAGATTGACGAAATACACTGCTGAGGGGAGCAGCGGGCGGGTCAGGAGAGGTCTGCCCCGCCATGTGGTCACCTCCGGGGCAGGCGGGGATCGAACTCATGCGGAAGTGGCTTTAGTTTCTTAGTGCAGTGCTTTAACCTGCTGCGCCACCTGGGAGGGCCCTCCCCTATAGTTTAAACCTCCTATAGTTTAAATAACTAGAAAACCGAGCAAAATATCTGCAACAACCAGTAGCAAGTGCAGGACAGTGATCTTTGGGAGAAAAGGAATAAATGTGCTAAGTCTGATGAAACCCCAGTTGACAGGGGAGTTTGCAGGCTGTAGCACAGGGAGGACAGAGTTGGCTCAGTGGTAGCCCCCCTCAAAGGATGTGTCTACACCTTCCACACCTCTGATCTGTACCCCAGTTTTGTATGCATAAATAAGTAAATCTTTTTTTTTTTTTAAGATGTGTCTACATCCTAACCCTCACAGCCTATGACTGCGACTTTGAATATGTAATTGAATTAAGGACTGTAAGACAATCAAATATCCTCATAATAGACACATAAAAGAAGTAGATCCCATGAGACTAGAGATTAGGCTAATGCAGCCATCAGCCAAAGTACATTCATAATTACTGGAGACTAGAAGAGACAAGGAGTAGAATGTCCCCTAGAGCCTTTGGAGGGGATATGACACGATGATTTTGAATTTCTGGTGTCCAGAATTGTGAATGAGTATAAATTTCTATTTTCAGTCACCACATTTGTGGTAATTTGTTAAGAAACTAATACAGAAAAGGGACTCTTGAAATAAATGCACCTTTAATAACTGCCACATTACTATTTGCATTTATATCATTACCAAAACCAAATTCAAGTTTAGACAATTTTATGTTCATAAAAATTTAGGGGCTTATTATTATTATTTTTTTTTGAAAAAAGATAATCAAACAGAGTGGAAAGGACATGAACTTGAACTTGTTTCTTGTTAGGTGGATGAGTTGGGTAAGTAATATAACTTCTTGAGTCTTGGTGTCTTAATCTGTGGCATGGGAGCCCCATTCCCTATTTCTTCCGCAGTTCTAATTGTCTGGTCTACTTCCTGAACTATAAATACAGAGATAAATTTTTCTATTCATCCAAAGCCAAGTATAAAACAATTGGTTGTTTTTTTTTTTTTTTGAGTGCATTTTGAATGAGGTCTGTATTCAGACATAGCTGCACACTTTTCATATAGATCAGTTGCCTGTGGTTCATTAACTCATGTATATTACAGGAGAGAAAAGAGGAGAAGGTGTTTCTATATGACTGCAAAATTTGGTCCTTTGCTTCCTCTTCAGCTAACCTCTCACTATTTTCCCTCTAGATTGACATTTGATCATGCTGGTCTCCTTACTGTTCCTTGAACTTTCCCTTTCCCACCTCCTCAAATATTGGTATTCTGTGCTCCCACTTGAAATGTTCTTTTCCCAGTTCAAATTTCCTCTCTGAAATTACTACTTCAAATGAACATTTCAGAAAGCTGTGTGCCTGGTCAATGATCTAAATTGTCCTCCACTTCTATACCTGTTCAGTCATTCCTTCTCCAGAATACCACTTGGTGGATTCTGTGGGCTCTGCCAGGAAGACAAAGCTTTTGCCTGTTATGACACCTGTCTGCTCAGTGTTTCTCTGTGGTACAGGATTGGGATCACAAGCCAGTACATTAATATGATAAAAATTAATAGGAAAAGAAGATTTTCAGAATATAAGTCCTGACTTTTATTATTAAATTCAGAACAAAGAGAATACAAAAGAATTATTAAAAAAATGTGCACATAGGCCCTCCCTGGTGGCGCAGCGGGTTAAAGCACAGCACTGAGAGGCTTAAGCCACTTCCACATGAGTTCGATTCCTGCCTGCCCGGGAGGAGATCCACATGGCGTGGCAGACCTCTCCTGACCCGCCCGCTGCTCCCCTCAGTAGTGTACTTCGTTGATCTGCCTGTTCTGCTTCCGCTCTGTCTCTGGTGAATCCTCTCACCCTCTGCATCTCTGGCCTGTACCCCAGTTCTGTATGAATAAATAAATAAATCTTTAAAAAAATGTGCACATTGTTCTATGAAAGCACATTTAGTCATTAATATGCTGTATTGTCCAATATGGTAGCCACTAGGTACAGGTGGTTTTTTCAAATTTCAAGTCAAATAAAATCCAGAAATCATTTCCTCACATCGCAGTGGCTGTTGATTGTATTTGTTCATAAGTGAAAACTTTTGTTCTGAGAGATACTGGTAAGAACATGGAAAGACAAACCACAGATAGGGAGAATATATTCATAAAAACATATCTGGTAAAGGACTTATATCCAGAATATACAAAGAATTCTCAAAATTTAGAGAAAAAAATTTAAAAGGGCAAATATTTGAGCAGGTGTGTCACCTAAGAGGTGATAGAAATGGCAAATTAGTATATGAAAAGATGCTCAGTTATTATCAATAAATTTGGCAGTTGGTATTTTTTTTGTAAATCAATCCAACTTTTGCCAGAAAGAAATGAAAATATATTTTTACACAAATAGCTGTATGTGAATGTTTATAGCAATTTTACTATTATCAAAAGCTAAAACAGGCCCTCTCTGGTGGCTCAGCGGGTTGAAGCACTGAGGAGCTAAAGCCACTTCCGCATGAGTTCGATCCCGCCTGCCCCAGAGGAGATTCACATGGCGAGGCAGACCTC